TCTTTCATATATCATAAATTTCATTCTTAATTCTGCGCTTATTAGCGTATTTCTAATAATGTACTAACTATATATAAAAATGTAAGTATATCGAATGATCATTTGCTTGTTCGATTCTAGGACACCATGTATAAGATACAATTTATTTCATTTCCGTTGAGTGATAATATATATAACATGTTAAATTTATCTAGGTAAAAGATATGCGTATATTAATCTGCAGTAGACATTACCTTTATGTATTGTGATACTTAATTATTACTACTTGCGTATTGTACTATATGTACTCTTACTTTAATTTTGACTACATATTTATGTAAGAAGATACAATAAATATAAAGAAGAAATAATATAAGATAGTACAGAGAAAAACAGCTGTCAGAGAAAATAAAAATGAAAATACACACTTTTATTAACATTACATGAAATTAATTGTAAGTTTGTAAAGATAATTTTAATCAAATAGCAATAATGCCAATAGAGAGTCAATACTCATAGTATATGTGTGTATATTTTATTAAAATTGTGTGTATATATATATATTAAAATTATTAAAAATTTTTTGTGTATTATAAATAAATTATAATGGTAAATAAACGCATTTCGACCTTTTTTTTTTAGATCATCCTCAGTACAATCTTAATATTAATTCTTATCCTAACTGCTGTAAGTTAAACATTTAACATAAATGATCCTTGACAAGATCTGTTGAGTAGGTGAAATTGAATGCGTAGTCATATAATAGTCACAAATTCAATAAAAGTCCAGTGGCAATTAATTAATAAGTTGTCAATATACAGTAGACAAAGCAATAAAGAATCGGGTAGTAATTCTTAAGTTAACGTTAAAGTCTTATGATACTGTATCTTTCCTGTATCTCTCTTCTTCAAAATCTATTCTTCAGGTTTATTCTTTCAACTGCATTATGTTATGCTTTCTGCACACAAAATGAAATAAATACTTATAATATCATTAAATGTAGGAGAGGGGGAAAAAAGATGAAAAATACAAATCCGGCTGCAATCCGGAACGAATCAATTGTTTCTGCCTAATATATGCGTGCGCCTATGCAGCAAATATATATCAAATAAAATTATATTCACACTGCGAAAAGAAACCGCAAAGAAATCTGCTTAAAATGAAGAAACGAACGAAATTAGATCATTACTTCCGTTGACTTTATATTGCATGGCATGACGTTGTTACTTCATAAATAGGGTTACCAACTCTTGGTCGTACGAAAAGAGTACATTGATATGCAAAAAGAGTATACTTTCTAAAAAAAAAAAAGGAAAAAAGATGACGAATAAAAAGATGACGAACTTTTTTATTTTAAATGCTGGCATTCAATAAAATGACATTTTTAGAATTTTTATTGACAACGTCTATTCAGTCTTCATAAAGTTACGAATAAATATGTTTCTTTATATTTTACTTCCAGATTTTTTAATGTTAATGTTAATAAAATTGAGAAAATAAAATTGATTCATGTATTTAACATATTTTGCTATTTATAAGTTTCTTCAACAAATATATATAACCAAATCTCTATCAAAACCTCTATATAATATGTAAATAAATATTTATATTTTACATAATGGCCAAAGCCTTAGTACAAGCCAAGCAAAACTTTTTTGTAAAGTAATAAATGTAAATATTAAATAATAATTTTTTAAATTTCGTCTCATTTTTCAAAATAGAGTACAATAAGTAAAAAGTAAGAGTACGCTGTTTTCCGACTTTGAAAAGAGTACATGTACTCTTAAAAGAGTACGGTTGGTAACCCTATTCATAAACACCATTTACGAGAAATGGGAAAAAAACGTCACCAATAAGACATAACTAACACTCTAGTGCAAAGATCTGTTAAAATTAAGCAAGTCGCGTTTCGTCTCAGCTCGGCTTGGCTCGGCTCGATTCGGTTTGGCAAGTCGTAATTGCTCGTGGAAACTTTTAATCGATCGGCAATTTCGCAGCGTCGAAAGAGTCAATTTTATGGCGATATACACGCTCATTACGTGACTCGCGCACCATGTATATCTCCCTGCAATCTACCTGCGTGTACGTCTGTCAGTCGGCCAGGTGTCGATTCGCGCTCACCAGGAGTTCGATGCTAACCGCTCTGTGTAGATCATTATGGCAAAATCATCTATAGCAAAATGAGGATCCATTTTGTCCACGGAACGATCTCCTTCTCTTTCTCTCTTCAATTTTCTTTTCTTTTTTTTTCCACTGCTGCGAGGCGGCAGTCGAATCGGGACTATCAGGACTATTCGAATCGAACCGAGAGTTTTTTTTTACGACCCGTGATTTATCGAGATTCCGCCGAAAGTATCGTCAATCTCCTACTACACAAAGCCTTATAATTCGCTAGATCGAAAAAAAGATATTTTTATATAATGAAAAATAACTTCTATGTATATATTCTTCCATAATCTGTATGCGTTAACCTTAGTAGTTTTGTGGCTTGTAGTTGTAATCTCTCTTTGGAAAACGAAAGACTGTAGGAAAATGCAAGAAAATGTTACATAAATAAATTGCAAAGTTCAGAATTGTAGGGCAAATTGAAAAGAGCGCAAGTCGAAATCGTTAAATATTCTTGAACAATACGTTAGGAAAAACTGTAAAATTTAGGCGGTGTCAAATAGATTTTTTCATATATGATATGCTAACGAGTCGGACTCACGTGACATAGTTTTTTAAACAAACCATCCAAACACGACAAGACGAAGGCAAATGGAACAATGTGCACACAGTACGTGCTCTCGGCACGTTTCTCTCTCGAGTATTTTGATAAGGCGACCAGATCTCGTCGACTCGTCGACTGCATTGTCGGACGCACATGACAGATTCTAACTAAGGGATTTACATAATTAGAATGCCATTATTTTTTCAGATATCGTCGTCAAGTAAACGCTGATTTCTGCGACACGTGCACAGAAAAAATAGAAAACGCCGCTATTTCCTTTTACAAACACGTGTCATTTAAAAAATATTATTCCAAGCATTAGGTGTATTAAACATATTTTCATTAGAATTTTAAGTTTTCTATTTATTTCGTAATATGAATCTGCCCGTTTCCGTTAGATCAATATTTTTTAAATCAATAATGTCATGTTTGTTCCAAGCAACTTTTTTTTTATCGCTTATTATTTATTTAGGTAATTCTCTTATCAAGTCTCTTTGATTCAACCTGTAAACTAGGTTCTCTTTCATCTATACTTTTTATCATCTCTAAAACTCATGTTCGTTTTTTTGATCGTCTTGGATCTGAAGGTATAAAGTACAATGTTGCATTTCGGCAAAGCAGAGATCTTAGGATAAGAGCTACTTTATAATACTTTATATGTACTCCTGCGAGAGGAGTAATGGATCTTCGGAGATTCTTCATCGAACACCACGTGCCCAAGTGGTTACTACGACAATGTATACCCACTTCAACAACCTCATGGCTCTTGCGCCAATCCGGAAACGGAAGGCGACCCTTTTGGAGAAGAGAAACGGAGAGGAAGGACGCGGAAAGCACTTAACCCTTTGTAACTGCACCAGCGCGAGGGGCAAAGATAGAAGCAACCGAATTGAAATTCGATCGTCACCTCTTTTCTATTATCCCACGTACCTAGAAACCAGCAAGAACAGCCTTTGCATCGTTCGAAATTTTGCTGATACTTTTTCATGAAATGCAATTGGTTTTTTTTTTTTTTTTTCCAGTTATACAGGATGTATCTTAAATAACGCCCACTAATCATATAGTGTTATTCCTAATAAAAAAAACTGAATCGAAAAGTCTTCTACCATTTTGCATTTTTCGCAATAGTTAACGAAATATTAATTTCTAAAGATTGCCGAATAAACGGATAAAATCGATGTATAAGACAATTTTAAGATATCTTTCAGTGTTCTTTATGAAATATTTTGAAGATGCTTTTTAAAGAACCCTTAAAGATATCTTAAAGTTGTCTCATACGTCAATTTTAGATATTTTGCTCATTGGGTAACTAAAAAGAATATTGCAAAAATTGCAAAATGGTAGAGGACTTTTCGACTCATAGTGTTTTCGAATGGAGTGGATTTGAACCTAACCTGGGTCAGATCGATGACGTCACGTGCTTTACTTTGATTTCTGATTGGACGAGATTATGATACTTTCGGGTCAAACATGGGTTAACCGAACCGGGTCGGGTTCAAACCCACTCCACTCGAAAACGCTATCAGTTTAGTTCGTTCTACCTACGCACGAGATATTTGGCGGTCATTCTGGAACATCCTGTATATATGTATATATGTATATATACACCGGTTGTAAAGCGTGTGAAAGACGGTTCAACTTTATCTTTTACGACTACAAAAAACATAATATACGTCGTCTACAATACACGAAGTAAGAAATAAGAGTAAGAAATTGCCTAATCACAGTCGAATCTAAGAAGAATAGCCGACTGTGATTGGTCAATTTCTTACTCTTACTTCTTACTCCGTGTATTGTAGACGACTCATAAGGGTGAACGTAAGAATGCAGAACCAATCAGAATACTGTCACATGTTCACGCCGTTATGTGTCGTTAATTTTAAATAGGCATATAATAAAGGCATTTATAAATTCGATTTCATAATATAATAGCAGTAATAATAACAAAAGCACTTTCTGTCTATCCACCATAGTAAACAATCAACATTGCTGTTATCGAAACTGCATTCTAATTGGTTGTCGTAATCTTATAGTTATGAATATTACGACATATCTTTACTCGATTGTAGATTAATATGTTGTACAACATTTACTATTACTCAGGTTGGGAACGTATTTATTTAGGTAATCTAAATTAATTCAAACTGACCAAATGTTTAATAACAGAATATGACAAAATAAAAATTATAACATAATTATGGAGTATGGATTTTATTAATTGATTTAGGATATTAAATAATATACAGGGTGTTTAGAATTTAAATGTCAAAACTTCGGGAGAATGTAGGGAATCGATAAACTGAGAAAAAAGTCCTGTAAAGATATACTCGTTTTTGCTTCGTTTTGAAGAAAATCGCAAAAAAGACAAAAAAAAGTTTTGTTGATCTCGTTAAAAGACTTTAAACAAAAGAACAACATAACTTAATGTACGTACGTTAATTTAAAAGTACGTTTGGGAAAAATTATTTCACGACACAATATTAATTCATAGTAGTAAATGTATTAATGAATGATACTTCTTCCTTTTTCTACTTCTCAATTTAGTATGTCTTGATTGATGTGTAAGTAAGAGGATGTGTCAAAAATCTAGATCTGTGGTCTTTGAGATGGTGCCTATATTGCAGGTAAAAAATTGTACAGCAAACACTAGGTGACAATCCTTTTCAACTACCGAAAAATGCAGGATCGCATTTTCCACTCTTTTGAACTATTCTCTTGCGCCAAACGTTTTACCGGTTGATCGCTGAGAATCAACTGAGGTCTTTCGAGATCCCCTTTGAAGACTACCATCGAGAAACCACCTGGTTTTGGTCTTGAATCGGCTTTCACGCGCAATAAGATCGCCCCTTCCGATTAACGCAGCCATTATCTCCCTAATCGGAAAAAAGTTCAATGACAAGATCTGGTGTCGCGTTCTTACATGCTAGAGTATATACAATAATACAATAGGGGAGAGAGAGAGAGAGAGAGAGAGAGAGAGAGAGAGAGAGAGAGAGAGAACTACAAATCTCATACATATCTTGCCAAAAAGTAATGCTTTTTGTAAATCATTGTAATTGGGAAATCTTGACGTTTTCCCTTATGTCCTCCAATAATTCAATAAATTTTCAAAAAGATTAACGTATAGTCACTACTTTTTTTATACTGTATATATTAATCGACATATAATTTCATCGACATTGTCATTATTAATTAAACATTGCAAATCGATTATATCTAAATCAAATTGATTATATCTAATTTATACTTTTGATCAATTAAACATTAAATCAATTAAACAGTAAAAGTAGAAAATTCTTATTAAACTCGGAAGAGACATATCAAATAATATAAGTGCATGATGAGATCTACATGAAAAGGAATTATAAAATAAAATACATTGCAAATTATTGCTGAATTTGTTAAGTATGTATACATATACGTGCACGTATGTAAGTAAAAGTATTTCGAGAGTGTGATACAAACGGTAATTTCAAGGAAGCCAAAAGTATATCGCCAAGATAGGCAACAAAAGAAAAGATAAGAACAAAGAAAGAAATAGTAAAACAGGAAGCGATAGAAGCTCGGCCAGCTCGATAAAGGATGGCTAATCTTACTCGCAAATATTTGGTTTGCATTCATGGCATTGATATATCGAATGGAGCGTATTCACAACACATCCCATCTCTTTCGTAGGGTAAACCGGAAAAAGGTTAGGGAAAGTGAACCAATCGCTACGAGGCAACTATGTGTTTACATTACGTTTCGCTCGACTATTCAAAACGCACCGAGAAATTTCGGTATTAAGATGATCGAGATAGGCTTGTACCGGTTGCAGACCGATACGAATGAAATTATTTTCGGGATATCGGCGATCTGTCAATATGAAAACTGTAGCCAGTAGATGTAATTGAGAGTCGAATCAAGAAATTTTTTGCTCGACTGACGCAGCTTGAATTCTCCTTATCCTTGAGGAATATACTGTTAAATACGATGTCGCAGGCGGAAATATATCACATATTAATCTATCGTCGACAGTGTTGAAAATGTCGTCACTAGTTTGTATTTGTACCAGTAGATATAAGTTTGTCATATCATTTTATGTGTGACACATCGTTAAAACATATTTATTGGTTATTGCTCGCAATACTTTTAACTAGGGATGGGAAGTTACTTTTGCCGTTACTTTTTAATAATATAACAAGCGGTTTGGTGATAGCAATTTTTTGTGACCTTAACAATAACTAACTAAAAGCTAAGATTGGAAAAGCCATTTTTGAAAAGTAACTTATTATCATCATTATTCATTAGCAAAGTATTACGAGTATCAACATATTAATATGTATTAAAAAATTTAAAAACGTGTCGGATCGCGTATCATATAAGTCTTTTCTTAAATCTCACAATTCCTCCACTTTTATAAAGCGATCAGGTCTGATCTCGCAGGTGAAGGGATTCCACGGATTCGAGATTGGTAACCGCGTAGCTATACCTACGAACGACTGTCGCAGTAAACTCGTGATAATCGAGCTCCGGATGTACCGAATGGGATCATTGCGGTAGGATGAGCACCGATCTGCCTTCCTATGCCGAGTAAAAGAATCACTCGGCGAAACGAACTGAAAGAGAGGAGAGAGAGTCTCCTACACACAAGAGAAGGAGGATCCGGTCCAGCTTGAGCTGTCACGTGAGAATCTCACCGGCGCGACGTCCCGCGTCACGACGCGTGTACGCGCATTCCGTGGCCGCTGCGCGCTGGCCGAGTTAGCCGGGTAGACGGCGAAGCAAAACGAGGGAAGAGGAGAGACCGTGAGAGATTAGCTTCTTAACCAAATAGGTCCGGCTTAGTATCTCCCCTCCCCCGCGGTTCGTCTACCTCATGTAACCTCATAGCACGTTGTCGTCGTTGATTTTCGGCCGTTTGAGAGAAGAGATTGCTGTGCAGGACGATACTTCGACCGGTTAATCTATTTAGTTTAAGGCTCGTCGATCACGAAACTCGGAACGTGGTTGCGCTGCATCTCATTGTCAGACTTGGCTTAATATAACAACGAAATCGATCGTTCGCTGAAAATTCCTCCCTCTCTCTCTCTCTCTCTCTCTCTCTCTATATATATATATATATATAAAATACATAAATCGATCTTCTTTTCACAAACGTCATGACATCACGTTGACTGATGGAAGATTAATATAGATTAATATATAGAAAAGTGTTTGGCAATTTCTCAAAACAATTTCTAAAATACATGACACCTAGTGATTTTCACGCCAAGATATTTCTTCGCGATATTCATATATCTTCGCGACAAATACGATAATATTTGCAGCGCAGAAAAAATAACGAGTATGGTTACATTTTGAACGGGACCACTACAACGGGACTTGTATTACACGAGTACCTTATTATACCTATATAATACTATTATGTATCACGGTTCTTGGTAATCTCCGAAATATCGACAGATTTGTATTACCGATAAAATTGATAATTCATCGCGACAATTTTGATAGAATTGCCTCTTTCCTTATCTTCCACGATGCACGCGAAAAATAATCGGATTTCGGCGATCATTCAAACAAACCTGGAAGTCATTGCAAAGATCGTGATAAAGTTCCTTTACCTTCCACCATGCGATCTCTGAGAAAAACCGTCACTGGTCGTAGTCTAGCGAGTTATGGTTTCGTGACGATCGCTACGCCGAGTACTTTTAGCTGGATGAATCATTGATGAATTGGCGATGGGATCGTGGGATTTGGCAGCTGCGATCAGAGCCTCTTCTTTTGCACGATACTCTTCTCCCTTGCTCGACCGCCCTTAACCGCCCTCCCGTTACTCTTCGTGAAACCTAACGTGCATTTGTTCCTCTGATCGCTTATGCAAAACACAATGTATTATACGATCTATTATGTTGCGGTTTACCGATATCTGCCACTGTGTGTTTACACTATACACACCAAGACTCAGCGAAATCGTGTACTCTAGTTACGTAAGTATCTTAATATGTTAGTAACGTATACGGTCTTTGACCCGCGGAAAGCTTTAAAATATTTGTCTCAATAATTACACTTTTGTATATTCTCACATATCACAGTTAATCTATATTTATTTCATAGTTATTCTAATAATTTTTCATCGTATTACATTATATGTGTGTAATAAAAAAAATGTTTAACAAAAATTTTTATATTAAAAGACGAAAAGTAGCGATATAGTATAAAATATTTGCTAATATTTTAGCAAATATCACACAAATACTTTCATTTCTCTTAAAGGAAAGTTACCGATAGCGTTGAGATTGACGTATTTAAGAATATGTTTATAAGAGTTATCCAAGTAACGGAGCTCGATGACACAACTGATGAACCATTCGACCGGTTGATTCAATAAATCCGTGCTGCGGAGCAGGGTTACGCCTCGCGCGACGCGACGCTGACGATTAATTCGACTGAATTAATATGAACCGTTGACACCGAGCCGCGAGGTTAAATTGTATGGTTCAAGCCGCGTGGCATCGACAAGCGGATCTGCCCCTGCACTGACGTTCATCTTAAACCCACTTAACTCACGATAGAGAATCTTTGTGAAACAATCGTTTTGTATTAAAAGCTCTCAAATGAAGAATTATATAATTCCAATTGCAAGAGACGCATTCGTTTGAATTGTAATTTGTATAATATATAGATTTTTTTATTCACAACGTACGATTTTTGTATTAGTATACAGTAAAAAACATTGTCTATCTGTGTATTTGGAAACGGTTTATATTCACGCGTTCTTATTGACAGTTTATATTGAATTTTTTAACATATTCGAGTGTTAATTTAACATGTGCAGATAAATGTGCAGATTGTGTTATTTAAAGATTTTGTGTTAAATTTATATTCAGCATTTCTTAATGTCGAAATGACAAAATGAACAAGTAATGAAGTGAACAAGTAACATAAAAATAATACGTCTTAAATTTTTAAAACGTAAATTTTAAGATAAATGAATGAAATATGTATTAACATATCATAAATGTTTAATTAATTATACTAAAAAATATATACTTTCATCACAGTTTGTTTACAAACTGTGTCAGCATTACCTTTTTCGATCATTTTTTTGATCATTTTTTTACACAATATTTATATTGTTTTCTAACGTATTCATCTTATGTTAAAAAAACACAAAAATTTGAGTGAACCGTTTAGATGTTTAGAACATGTGAAATGTGTTATATTTGATAAATTTTCCAACAGTATAATAGCAACGTGTGACTTATATAATTTTGTTATATATATAATATATGTATAATTTTGAGATTGCGTAAGGACAAATACGCAAAAAGAGAATCTACAATTTTCTACCGTCCCAAGGATTTTCCGATCTTCCGTTCGGCA